CAAACGCCCGAGATCCCCAGACACGGAACGCAGACGCATCGCCGACCTTCCCCGTCCACAGTAACACTGGGGACATATCGGGCCGAGAGACCCTGGGGTGAAGGTTGAGCTGATGCGCCGCGTACCGAACGGCAAACGGCCACAGAAAATGGGGGCCAGCCGCATGCATCATGGACGTACGAGCGACATCTAAGACCATGCCAATGCGGCGCTCAGCAATCCCATTTTGCTGTGGAGATTCCGGAAGCGTAAAGGTCTGGCGGATCCCCTGTGCACGACAGTAGTCTCGCAGAAGGCGAGAGGAGAACTCCCCACCTCGGTCAGAGTGCAGACGCAGAACAGGAAAGTCCGAGCCGAAGCTCCTCCTGAGCTGGAGACGAGCCTCGCGGATCCAGTCGATCAGCACCTCAGTGACAGCACCCTTGCTGCGCAAGGGGAAGACTGTGGTGTAACGCGAGTAGTCGTCAACCACCAACAGGAAGTAGCGCTCGTGACCCTGCCCACGGACGGGGGCCGGGCCCCACACGTCCATGTGAAGTGTCTGCAGAGGAGCCTCTGTCGGGGGAAACTGGGTGGAGTGAGGAGCAGCCCTGAGGCGCCCCTCGACACAGGGGACACAGGAAGGTCCTGGTCCCGAAGGAAGGGGAGGGAGAGACTGGGGAAGACCAGAGACAAGGACACGGGAAGCCATGCCCCGAAGACGGGGCAAGGAGGGGTGGCCAAGACGGTGGTGCCACAGGAGAGTCTCGTGAGACAAGAGGCGACACGAGCAGGGGGCAGACTCACGACCAGACCTGGACGCAGCAGCAAACACCTGACTTGACGCTGCTACCTGACCGGACGCAGGGACAGGAGGAGACTCAGTGGTCAGGGTGTAGAGGCTCGACCCCGGCCGACGCGAGAACGTGGCCAGGTGCCGGCCTGTGCGTGCGTCCGTGCAGTGGGTCACCCGCTGACTCGCAGGAGTGAACTGGTGAACCCCCGCATCCTGCAGGTCTGCACCACTCACCAAGTTCGTCGAGAACGAGGGGAGGTACAGGCCAGACAGGGTGCCCGAGGGGGCAGCCGGACACGGGAGGACAGTGGAAAAGTGAGCGAGGACAGGACCCCCAGAGGGGTCAGCCAGGGAGACTGCAACAGGCCGACCAAGCGGCGTGAGTGTGGTGCGGTCCCGAAAGAAGGAGCGAGAAGCCCCAGAGTCAAGTGTAAAGGTGAGGGAGGCCGAAGCCAACGTGGTACCTGAGAGCGCAGCCTCACCCGCACCTGAGGAAGCAGACTCACTAGCACCTAGAGCAGCAGCCGCACCTGTACCTGGAGCAGGAGACTCACTAGCACCCAGAGCAGCAGCAGCCTCACCAGCAGCTAGAGCAGCAGGTCCTATTCCCGGGTCAGGCGGTACGCACAGGTGACCGGCACGGTCAGCACTAGTAGGCAATGCATACATGGCAGTGAGAATAGCATCATAGTCAAGAGCAAATATATCTACCCTCTGCCTAAGCAACTCCACCCAGTCGGGAGCTCAGCCTCGTCGCCAAACACGGTACGCCAGGCGTCGCTCAGATGGGCGAAGCAGCGGGACTGTGTATGACTAGGTGTCTCACAAGGCTGACCAGTTCGAGCACCAGTGAGAATCACGTAAGAGCAGCGAACAGAACTGAGAGACCCTCCACTCTGAGCGTACCACTCACGAAGCTGCTGAGGCGTGAGAGACGCGCGGGGGGGTCGCGGGAGCTGCATCTGGCCGCCACCAGTAGTAGAAGCAGCAGGAGTGGTAGCAGTAGTAGCGCCACCACCCCTACAGCCCCAACCAGCGTACCACTCACGCAGCTGCTGGGGCGTGAGGGACTCACGCAGACGTCGATGGGGCCGCATCTGGCTCCACCAGTAGAGGCAGGAGCAGGAGTAGCAGCAGTAAGGCAGGCAGCCAGGCAAGCCAAAAAGGGAGGCAGGCAGGCAAGCAGGCGACGCGCAGCGTGCTAGCAGGGCAGGGGCTCACCAGTGGTGGGTAGAGTAGGCTCGGCGACTCAGAGGCTCGGCAGCACGGCGGCTCTGCGGCTCGGGCGACTCGGGCGGCTCGGCGGCAGGGCGGCTCGGCAGCAACTGCAGCTCGGCAGCTCGGCGACCCGGCGGCGCGGCTGTAGGGCGGCTCGGGTGCTGGGAGGCTCGGGTGTAGAGCGGCTCGGCTGCAGGGCGGCTCGGCTGCTGGGAGGCTCGGGTGTAAAGCGGCTTGGCTGCAGGGCGGCTCGGCTGCTGGGAGGCTCGGTGTGAGGCCGGGACAGGCGTGCGCGGGCGGCTAGGGGCCGGGACAGGCGCGTGGGTGGCTAGGGGCCGGGACGGGCGGCGCGCGGGCGGCTAGGGGCCTGAACAGGCGGCGCGCGAGCGGCTAGGGGCCGGGACGGGCGGCGCGCGGGCGGCTAGGGGCCTGAATGGGCGGCGCGCGAGCGGTTAGGGGCCGGGACGGGCGGCGCGCGGGCGGCTAGGGGCCTGAACGGGCGGCGCGCGAGCGGCTAGGGGCCGGGACGGGCGGCGCGCGGGCGGCTAAGGGCCGGGACGGGCGGCGCGCGAGCGGCTAGGGGCCGGGACAGGCGGCGCGCGGGCGGCTAGGGGCCTGAACGGGTGTCGCGCGAGCGGCTAGGGGCCGGGACGGGCGGCGCGCGGGCGGATAAGGGCCGGGACGGGCGGCGCGCGGGCGGCTAGGGGCCTGGACAGGCGGCGCGCGGGCGGCTAGGGGCCTGCAGGGCAGGCCGAAAGAGTGAGAGCGAGGGCCTGGAGCGCGCTCCGGGCAGAAAAAAAAGTTTAAAAGTGGTGGGCCCTAAGCACAGTTCCCACGGGGGAACCTGCTCGATACCATGTGGAGAATAGAGCGAGAGTGGATGAACTATGAGTGAAGTGAGTACAAATAGCAAAACCCTAATTGGGTTGTACCCCCTATGGTATACCCCACTGTAGCCTACACAACAGCATAAGCTACATATATGTTCTGACAAAAAGCCTGGCACCCCCCGACGAATATTACGGAACTGCAGAGTTTCTTAGGGTTCGTAAATTACGTGCGTCGGTTCGTCCCCGACATTGCACGGTTGACGGCACCACTGACGGACTTATTACGGAAGGGGGTCGCTTTGACGCGGGGGGAGAAAGAGCATGCTGCCTTCTCTGCCCTGAAAACTGTTCTCTGTTCACCGCCCGTCCTGCGCATCGCTAACCCACACCGCCCATTCAAAGTAGTTACTGACGCCAGCGACATCGCCATCGGAGCCGTACCGCTACAGGACTTTGGCAACGGCCTACAACCCATCGCATACGAGTCACGAAAACTGCATCCGCCCGAAAACAATTACCTAATACACGACCGCAAAATGTTTGCGATCGTGCATGCGTTCAAAGTGTGGCACTGTTACTTGACCGGCATAGACGTGACAGAGTGGACAGACCATAAATCACTACACTACCTCCACGCACAGCCACACCTCAACCCACGACAGATTCGTTGGCTCGACTTCCTCGAGTCAAATTTTCACTACACGGTCACCTACAAAAAGGGAGCCTCGAACATCGCCAACGCACTGTCCCGCTCCACTGCCCAGATCCACGCAATACTACTCCCCCAGACAAGCCCACTACTGACAGGCCTATTCACCCACGCGTACCAAACGGACCCATTCTTCACAGGAGGAAATTCGCAGCAGTTCGCAGCAGCAAGGGGAGTCTATTACGTAAAAGTCGGGACTGACCGCATTTGGGTGCCTGGGTATACACTGCTACGGGAATTACTGTTACAAGAGGCACATAACGGAGCTACCTCGGGGCATTTTGGAGTAGAAAAAACACGGCAGCAGCTGCAGCGGTATTATTACTGGCCCGAAATGTTGACCGACGTACAACGACACGTGGCATCGTGTCCCACTTGTCAGCTTATGAAATCATCAAGGCAGCGGCCGGCAGGACAGTTGCAGCCGATACCACCTCCGGAGAGTGCTTGGCAGCAGGTGACGATGAACTTCATCACGGGGTTACCGGCCGGGGCGAGTGGGAACGACGCGATCCTGGTCGTCGTTGATCGACTGACGAAAATGGCACATTTTGCAGCCTGCAAAAAATCAATCACAGCCGAAGAAACAGCACGACTCTTCATCTTCACCGTCGTTCGACTGCACGGGATACCAGCAGCAATAATCAGCGACCGCGACAAGAAATTCACCAGCAACTTCTGGCGGAACCTGTGGCAGCAGTTCGGCACGCGACTACAGTTCAGTTCATCATACCACCCTGAAACCGACGGACAGACAGAACGGACAAATCAGACCATGGAACAGCTCATCAGAGCCACGTGCGACGACCCAACCACATGGGAACAGCAACTGCCACTCATCAAATTCGCGTACAACAACTCGCCATCCGCCACAACCCAACAGTCACCATTTTACCTAAACTACTGACAAGACCCGACAGTACCCATGACCCCGAATCCCGACAACCCAGTGCCACGAGCACAACAGTTCGCCGAAATATTACAAGCAGCACGGACCAGGGCAGCAGATGCAATAAAAAAATCCAACATCATCGCTAAACGTAACGCCGACCGCCACCGCAGACCTGTCACTTACCAGCCCGACGACCTGGTTTTACTTGACACCCAGAACCTCCGCCTGCCCATCACCCCAAAACTACGCCCCCGATACTGTGGACCATTTTGCATCAGCCACATGATCACACCCGTCATCGCCCACCTCCTGCTCTTTGCTGACTGGTATGTCAGCCCTTCATTCCACGTTAGCCTGCTTCGCCCTTACGTCCCGTCCACGAGCCAGCTGCCACGCACTCACCCAGCCAGCATGACACGACCGCCAACTGAACCAATCATCACCCCCAAAAAAATCCCAAGCCACCGAGTTCGTGACCCTCGAGGAGCCCGAAGGATCGAGTTCCTGATACGCTGGAAAGATCGTACACCCACCGAAGACAACTGGGTGTTGAGATAGTAAGAGTAGGGCCTAGGCTTAGTAGCCTAGGCCAAAGGGAGTCGAGAGAGTTTAGGCAAAGAGTGGGGAGTTGACTATTGAGCGAGGTACAAATAGCAAACAAATTATGCAAAGAAGGTGCACCACCAACAAGTTTATAATAACTACACTAACTACAGCTACAGGCAGTTACAGATATATTCTAACACTCCCCCATAACTGCCTGCAGCAGAAGCTAATGCAGAAACACCCGCTGAAGGGGTACACCAAGCGCAGCAGAAGGAGAGGGCAAGTGAGGAGGAGGGACTATATAAGGAGAAGCTGCTGGCAGGTGAAGCTGCTGGCAGGTGAAGCTGCTGGCAGGTGAAGCTGCTGGCTCCAAGGCGGCTGCTTCCTGGAACCTTCCTCAGTCCTCCAACTCCCCCTTCCACACTCCTCGACAACCCTAGCACCTCTCCCCCAGCTCCCCCACACCCTCACACCCCCCCCCCCCCCCCCCAAGCGGCAGCTGCAGCAGTGGGAGAGAAAGGAGGAGGAGGGGAAGGGGATCACACACACCCATCACCCCCATACCCGCCACCCCCATAGCCTCCGTTCCACGGCTGCACACGCAGCAGGGAGACGAAGAAGGGGGAGGGGGAAGAGCAGGGGCAGCATAGGCACGGGCAGGGCAGCCGCGCGTGCAGGGCAACAGCACGGAGCAGGGCAGGGCAGCCGCGCATGCAGGGCAACAGCGCGCAGCACAGCAGGGGCAGCAACAGGCGGCAATGGGCAGCACAGGCACGGGCAGAAACGGGCGGCGACGAGCAGCACACGCACGGGCAGCAACGGGCGGCAACGGGCAGCACAGGCACGGGTAGCAACTGGAGGCAACGGGCAGCACAGGCACGGGCAGCAACGGGCGGCAACGGGCAGCACAGGCACGCGCAGCAACAGGCGGCAACGGGCAGCACACGCACGGGCAGCAATGGGCGGCAATGGGCAGCACAGGCACGGGCAGCAACAGGCAGCAACGGGCAGCACAGGCACAGGCAGCAACGGGCGGCAACAGGCAGCACAGGCACGGGCAGCAACAGGCAGCACAGGCACGGGCAGCAATGGGCGGCAACAGGCAGCACAGGCACGGGCAGCAACGGGCGGCAACGGGCAGCATAGGCACGGGCAGCAACGGGCGGCAACGGGCAGCACACGCACGGGCAGCAACAGGCGGCAACGGGCAGCACAGGCACGGGCAGCAACGGGCAGCACAGGCACGGGCAGCAACAGGCAGCAACGGGCAGCACAGGCACAGGCAGCAACGGGCGGCAACAGGCAGCACAGGCACGGGCAGCAACAGGCAGCACAGGCACGGGTAGCAACGGGCAGCACAGGCACGGGCAGCAACGGGCGGCAACGGGCAGCACAGGCACGGGCAGCAACAGGCGGCAACGGGCAGCACAGGCACGGGCAGCAACGGGCGGCAACGGGCAGCACAGGCACGGGCAGCAACAGGCAGCAACGGGCAACACAGGCACAGGCAGCAACGGGCGGCAACAGGCAGCACAAGGAGGCAGTCGTACCGAGTCCAGGAGCGGCGGCGCATGCAGCTGCAGGGTCGGCGCCGTGGGCTGCTGCTGGGGCGGCTCGCGGGGTCCCTGAGGCGGCATTGCGGGCTGCTGCAGGGTCGGAGCTGCGGGGTCCATGGGCGGCTGCTGAGGTCCAGGGGCGGCTTCACCAGGGGCAGCTGCTCCAGGGGCCAGGGGCGGGTGCTCTGGGTCCAGGGGCGGCTGCAACAGGGGCGGCTGCACCAGGGGCCAAGGGCGGCTGCGGAGGTCCAGGGGCGGCTGCACCAGGGGCGGCTGCTCCAGGGGCGAGGGGCGGCTGCTCTGGGTCCAAGGGCGGCTGCTCCAGGGGCGGCGGCGGCTGGTCCAGGGTCCAGGGGCAGCTGCTCCAGGGGGGGCGCTGGTGCATGGCAGGCCCGCGCGCGACTGCAAAGCTGGCGCAAGCGCAGGTGAGGCAGAGGCGGTGGCCAAGGGGGAGGGCGTCGCGACGAGCAAGGACGGCGCCCAAGGGGCGCCGCGACGAGCAAGGGCGACGCCCCAGGGGCGCCGCGACGAGCAGGGGCGGCATCCAGAGGGCGCCGTGACGAGCAGTGGCGACGCCCCGCGGGTCCCGCAGGGGCGTCACGACGAGCAGGGTGACGCCACGCGGGTCCTGCAGGGGCGTCGCGACGAGCAGGAGCGGCGACGCCCGGGTCTCGTTGGTGCGTCGCGACGAGCAGGAGCGGCGCCTCGCAGGGCGCCGGGAAGTGGAGGGTACGGGCGGGCAAATCAGGCCCGTGCGTGGACGTGAGGCAGGCGCGTAGGCGGCGTGAATGCTGGCCGTGCGCGGGGCAGGAAGACGCCACGCGCCCAGGGCGCACGGCGGGCAGAAAACCGCCGTGCGCCCCGAGTACACGGTGGGCAGAAAATCGCCGTGCGCAATAGGCTGCGCGCCCGAGGCGCACGGCAGGATCATAGGAAGCGGAAGCAAATTGGTGGGCCCGTTAAGGAAGGCAGAAGGAAGGTACCTGCTCTGAATACAACGTTGAGATGGTAAGAGTAGGGCCTAGGCTTAGTAGCCTAGGCCAAAGGGAGTCGAGAGAGTTTAGGCAAAGAGTGGGGAGTTCACTATTGAGTGAGGTACAAATAGCAAACAAAGCATCCAAAGAAGGTGCACCACCAACAAGTTTATAATAACTACACTAACTACAGCTACATGCAGTTACAGATATATTCTAACACTGGGTTCCCTTAGACAGAATCGAAAACCACCCCGTCCTCAACGAGTATCTGCGCAGCCGAAACTTCAGGGATGTACACGCACTTTCGTAAGGAGGACCTCCTTAGGGGGGGGGGGTAGTGTAAGGAAAATTCCTTTTCCTTACTTCGCGTCCACGCTCAGCGCGTACACCACTGTAGCCCCACAGTCAGCACCGTTACCACTCGCAACTCTCGCATCGACAATCCTCCCGCCACCTTCGCACGTCGCACCCCGACCTCACGGCTCGGCGGGTAACCCGCGCTCCGGGCCTCCGCTTCGACACTTGGATGTAGAACGGTGGCAGTGAAGTGTCGGTGCGTAGAAACATCGACGGGTTGGGAGTAGAAGGAGCAAACCCAAGAGTCGCAAGTGTAGTCCTCAGTAAGTCGTGCCACTCATGGGGCGCCTGGCGGAGACCGTAGACTGGCCGCCGAAGGCTCCACTGGGTACTAGGAGGAAACGACCCAGTGAAGCCAGGTGGGCGGCGCAACCAGATCTCCTCGTGCAGGCTGCCCTGTAGGAAAGCACTGCTGAAGTCAAAAGAGTGAAGCTCGTAGTCGCGCTGAGCGGCGACGTGCAGCAGCACCCGAAGAGTGGTCATCTTTGGGGTGGGAGAGAAGGTCTGAAAGCAGTCAACTCCCTGTCGCAGACTGAAGCCTCGAGCCACATAACGCGCCTTGAAGACAGGCGGAGAACCCGGCGGCCGCTTCACCCTGAAAATCCACATGCCACTGACGATGTTCGCCCCAGGTGGGGGAACTTTGACGACGTAGGTGTCTTTGGACTTCCAGGAAGCCATCTCTGCGTCCATGGCTGACTGCCACTGAGAGGAGTAGGGACCTTACGTCGCCTCTGCGTAAGAGCGCGGGGTCAGGATGTCTAGTGCATCCGGGTCTCCCCCAGTGGCAACTAGCATGGACACGAGATGAGGTAAAGCAGCAGCAAAACACTAGAACTCGTCCTGCTTGTCCTCAAGGACATCCGTGCTAAAAGCACACTCACCCCCGACGGACGGAGGATAGACAGACTCAGACTCAGCAACAAGACTAGCAGCGTAGTCTAGACGACAGTGAGCAGCGAAGTCAACAAGCTCAGCAACCAAGGCAGACGCAGCAGTGGACTCAAAGGAAGGGTCAGTGACAACAGTAGCCAGGAGACGCGTGACAGTAGGTCTAGATGCACAAAGGGAGTCAGACTCCAGGTCAGCAAGGGCAGGAAGAGAGGACTCTAGAGGAGACGGCAAAGGGACACGCTGTGGAGCAGTGGAGGGATGCAGTGCCATCTGGTGCGTGCTCGGGACCACAGGAGGACGCTGACGCATAACACGACGACCAGTGCGAGCAGCGCGAACAGGTGACGTAGGACGAGACTCAGGCTCACGTCGCTCAGCAAGACCCCCAGTAGGACCAGTGTAGAGAGGAGCAAGCAGTGGGGAGGCCAGCTGTAGCTGTGACTCGGATTGGACAGGCTGTGGACACTCTAGGGAAGGAGCAGGACCAGTAGAAAGCGGAAGACCAAGAACCTGCTCAAGGAGCGGAACGAAGTACGGTCGTGGCCGCACAGCACCTCCAGAACCAAGAGGGACAGCACCAGCACCCCCAACGGCAGCTCCAACACCAGCAGCTCCACCAGCTCTAGCAGCACCACCAACCGCTCCAGTAGCGCCAACTCCAGCACCCATAGGAGCACCGGCTCCAGCAGCACCTCCACCTCCAGCACCTCTAGCAGCTCCAGCTCCAGCATGACCACCGAAAGACGCAGCAGCTCCAGTACCAGGAGCACCACCAGGCCCAGCAGCTCCTGTACCTCCAGTACGAGCACCTCTGGGACCCGTGGCTCCAGCACCCCCAATAGCAAAAGACCCTCCAGCTCCGGCAGCACCACCAGCTCTAGCAGCACGGCTCCAGCGCCGAGCAAACCACTGGCGCAGCTCCTGAGGAGAGGGTAGCTCCCGCCAGGACGAAGCACCCGAAGGACCTCCCGGCCCAGCACCGCCAGACTCCACACGAGCAAGCTCAGCACCCTCAAGCTCCGTACCCCCAGACTCACCAACCCTAGGCTCAGCACCCCCAGGCTTAGCACCCCCAGGCTCAGCACCCCCAGGCTTAGCACCCCCAAGCTCCGCACGCTCAGGCTTAGCACCCCCAGACCCGGCACCCGCAGGCTCAGCACCCCTAGCAGCTCCAAAGTCAACAGCTACCTCGACAGGCTCGACTGTGTCTACTTGGGACACACCTGACGGGGCAGGACCCTGAGGGGGGAGGGGGTCCACCGGGGGGGGACCTAGCATGAGGAAGAGCGGCGGGGGGGGGAGGAGGGCAGCACCGTAGGGGAAGAGACAGTAGTACGAAACCGACTTGTCAAACGTGACGTCCTGGGAGGACAGTACACAGCGCGAGGTGGGGTGGTAAAACTGCCAACCAGGCGCATCAGGGGGGAAGCCAAGGAAGACGCAGGGAACAGCACGGGAGGACAGCTTGTCCGCAGACAAGTCGCGGACGAAAGCTTGAGATCCCCAGACACGGAGCACAGACGCATCGCCAGCCTTCCCCGTCCACCGCAGAGTATGGGAGGTCTCCGGCACGAAGACCCGGGGCTGGAGGTTGAGCTGATGCGCCGTGTACTGAACCGCGAACGGCCACAGAAAATGGGGAGCAGCCGCATGGATCATGGACGTACGAGCGACGTCCATGACCATGCTAATGCGGCGCTTAGCAATCCCATTATTCTGCGGAGAGGCCGGAAACGTGAACGTCTGGCGGATGCCTCGTGCACGACAGAAGGCTCGCAGAAGGTCAGAGGAAAACTCTCCACCTCTGTCGGAGTGCAGACGCAGAACAGGAAAGTCCGAGCCGAAACTCTCTCTGAGCTGGAGACGTGCAGCGCGGATCCAGTCGATCAACATCGCAATGACCTCACCATTGTTGCGCAAGGGGAAGACTGTGGTGTAACGCGAGTAGTCGTCAACCACCAGCAGGAAGTAACACTCGTGACCGACCTTATCCACGGACGCGGGCTGGGCCCCACACGTCCATGTGGAGAGTCTGCAGCTGAGCCTCTGTCGGAGGAAACTTGGAGGAGTGAGGAGCGGCGCGCTGCCTCCCCTCGACCCAGGGAACGCAGGTAGGGGCAGGCCCCGGGGGAAGGGGAGGGAGGGACCGGGGGAGACCTGAGACAAGGACACGGGAGGCCATGCCTCGGAGACGAGGCAGGGACGGGTGACCAAGGCGGTGGTGCCAGAGGAGAGTCTGGTGAGACATGAGATGACACGAGCAGGGGGCAGACTCAGGACCAGACCTGGATGCTGCAGCAAACACCTGACCCGATGCAGCTACCTGACCAGACGCAGCAACCGGAGGAGACTCAGTAGTCAGTGTGTACAGGCTCAATCCTAGCTGACGGGTAAACGTTGCCAAGTGTCGGCCCGTCCGAGCATACGTACAGTGGGTCACTCGCTGACTCGCAGGAGTGAACTGGTCAACCCCCCAATCCTGTAGGTTAGCACCACTCACCAAGTTCGTAGAAAATGAGAGGAGGTAAAGACCTAACAAGGAGCCAGAAGGGGCCGCCAGACACGGTAGGACAGTGGAGTAGTGAGCAAGGACAGGGCCTTCAGAGGGGTCTGCCAGGGACACTGCAACCGGCCGACTAAGCGGCGTGAGTGTGGTGCGGTCTCGAAAGAAGGAGCAAGAAGCACCCGAATCAAGGGTGAAGGTGTGCGAGACCGCAGCAGGCGCAGCACCAGAGAGAGCAGACTCACCAGCACTTAGAGTAGCAGCCTCACCAACACGTGGAGCGGGA